CAGAAGGAAGGAAATAACAAAGATTAGAACAGAAAGAAATGAAATTGAGACAAAGAAAATAATAGAAAATAACAACAAAATGAAAACTGACAAATGCTTAGCTGGATGAAATTAGGAAAAAAAGGAGAAGACTCAAATAAATAGAATCATTAATGAAAGAAGAGAAACTGAAAGAATACTCAAACTGATGCAGCAGAAATAAAAACAATCATAAAAGACTACTATGAGCATTTGTATGCCTAGGTCATCCAACAAACTAGATGAAATGGATACATTCCTAAAAACATACAGCCTACCACGACTAAATCATGAAGAAACAGAAAGTCTAAACAGACTTATAATTAAGACTGAATCAATAATTAAAAACCTTCCAACAAGGGAAAAAAGGAAAAGCCTAGGGTTAGGTAGCTTCGCTGATAAATTCCACCAAACATTTAATGACAGAGTAATGCCAGTCCTTCTTAAACTCTTCCCAAAAAATTGAAAAGGTGGAGAAACTTCCAAATTTGTTTTATAAGGCCAGGATTATCCTGATACCACAGCCAAACAAAGATACTATAGAAAAAGATAACTACAGGCCAGTATGCTTAATGAATATATGTGTGAAATCCTTAATGAAGTACTTGCAGACTGAATCCTATAGAGCATTAAAAGGATCATACACTTCGATCATGTGAGATTGGTGTATAAGAAAGGTTCAATATATGAAAATCAAGTAATGTAATAATATACCATGTTTTCAGAATAAAGCATAAAAATCTCAGTAGATATAGGAAAAGTATTTGACAAAATTCATCTTTCATGGTGAAAATTCTCAACAAGCTAGACATAGAAGGAAATTAATTCACATAAGAAAGGCCATACACAACAAACTCACAACTAATACCACACTCAGTGGTGAAAACTGAAAGCTTTTCTTCTAAGATCATAAGCAAGTAAGGATGGCCATTCCTACTACTTGTATGTAATAGTGGAAGTCTTATTAATAGCAATTAGGCTAGAAAAGCAAATAAAAGATACCCAAATTGGAGAGGAAAAAGTCAAATTGTCTGTCCATGGCATGATATTATATCTATAATTCCTAAAGATTATGCCAAAGAAACTGTTAGAACAAAGAAACAATATTCAGTGATATTGTAGAACAATATTGTAGAAACAGTATTGTAGAAACAATATTCAGTGATATTGTAGAACACAAAATCAACATTCAAATACCAATTGTGTTTTGGCCAGGCACAGTGCCTCATGCCTATAATCCTAGCACACTGGAAGACCAACATTGGTGAAAGAAATTTTAAAACCCCAGAGTTAACAGGGGAAGGAATAAAGATAAGACAAGATAAGAAAAGAAACACATGGAGAGGCATCCCATATTTAAGGATTGTAATTTAATAATGTTGTAAATTAATAATGTTAAAATGTCCATTCTATCCAAAGCAACCTCCAGAGCAATCCAATCTCTACTAAAATCTTAGTCGCATTTTTTATGGAAATAGGAAAAAATCTAAAATTTAGGTAGAGCCACAGAAGACCACAAATACCAATCAGTCTTAAGAAGGAGTATCAAAGCTGGAGGCATTATACTTCCTGATTTCAAAATATGTTACGTATCTTCAGTAATCTGAACAATGTGGTACTGGCTGATCCTCAAAAAAGGTTCATATTGTAGCCAGGAATAGTCTTTAAATATAATATTTAAATATTGTGCCATGTAAAGGTATATATAAAGTTTTATCAAAATTCAGAAAATTCTGCCTGAGAATGAATGGACCACACAGGGTTTTGAGAGATGAATGCAGACAGAATGATGACATTCCAGACATAGGGAAATATAACAGTCTTTTGAAAATATGAAGCCAGTGAACTTAGGCAGAGCATGAGAGAAGCACAGTGAAAGCTGCTTTAGGGACTTGAGTTGGAGAGATGTAGGCATAATTTATTGGGACAGGAATAAATCAAGACTACTAGTCGGGAGGTAACTATATTTGAAGAAAAGGGATAAGGAATTTGTACCATTGTGGTAAAACCAGCACTTATGAAAGAAAAACAATTCCCTTAAAAAATTTTTTTCTATGTTTAGATTACTTTATATCTTCCTTTGAATTATTCTACAAGTGAACCCTAAGGAAAGAGTCCCCAAACAAGTCATCTATTTAGGAAGTAATGCTAGGGAACATCAGTCAGAGAGTGAGGAAGTGAGACCAAGAAAGATCAAGAAGACAGCTAATAATGTTTTTTTATTTAATTGACCAAGTTAATACTGTGAGTAACTGAAACTTAATCCCACTAATGAATTCTGAAAGGCAGTGCAGCAACCAGCCTAAATTATTCTACCCATAGGGCAAGGGGGTTTGGATTTTGTATGCATCATTTCCCTTCAGTCACATCTGGCTGCTGCAGAGCAAGGTGGGAGAGCTATCTTTTCTAGGTAGATAAGCAAAAGAGATTCAGACAGCCAGAGAAAGCCATTGAGACATAGAAATATAGGTATAGGTAGTTTGAAGTGAAGCAGATATCCACTGAAGTATTAAAGGCAAGGAAGGATGGGTAGGGTTAGATTTTTAATCCTCAATAAATCCAATTATTATCATGAACCTCACTGCATTTTGTTCTATTTGCATGCTTTATAATTAAGATTCAGTTCTTTTTTATTTTTTTGCAGTTTTTGGCCAGGGCTGGGCTTGAACCCACCACCCCTGGTATATGGGGCCAGTGCCCTACTCCCTGAGCCATAGGCACCGCCCTAAGATTCAGTTCTTAATTATTCCAATACTGATAATTTCTGTTCTTTTTCTTGTTGCAGGCTAACCAACATATTCTGAAAACAATAACTGAACAAAGTGTGGAAATTGAACAGCTCCGAAAACAACTTAGGTATTTTCAAAAATGAATTTTGTTATTTTGTTATTCATTCATTTTTGTTCAGGGCAGCTGAGATGATATCATAATAATAATAATAATAATTTTCCCATGACTGTTCTGCTCCCCCTTTTACTAAGCTTTTCTCAATAGCTTTTTATATGTATGACCTGTCAGGATAGGTATATGTATACTATGAAATACTATTCAGCCATAAAAAAAAGATGGAGACTTTGCATCTTTTATATTTACCAGAGGGATTTGAAGAATGTTCTCCTAAGTATCTCAAAAATAGAAAGGCAAGCATCCTTATGTACTCAGTATTAAGTTGAAATTTGTAGATTAATAACTACATACCTGCTTGAGAAAGAAATACAATTAAATTCAAGAGGGGGTCAGATTTGGTTAGTTCCCACCTAACAGGTACAGTGTATGGATATATGGCACACTTTCTGGGTGAAGGACTCAACTACAACTCAAGACATACAGACACAAAACAAATAATGTAATCTAATCATATGTTCCTTCATATTAATCTGAAATAAAAAAAAAATTATTAGTGAGAGGTAACCATGACGTATAGTCTAAACTCTGTATCCATGAAGTCTGTCTTCATAGGTTCCATATTTGTAGATTCAACCAACCATGGTTTGAAAATGTTTAAAAAGTAATAAAAATTAAAAAGACAGTACAGTTTAATAACCATTTACACAGCATTTACAGTGTACTAGAATAATATAAATAATCTAGAGATGATTTAACATAAACAGGAGGATGTACATAGATAGGTTATATGCAAATACCATACCATATGATATAACTAACTTGAGTATGTGTGTATTTTGGAATCTAAGATGTCCTGGTACCAATCCCCTGCAGATAGTGAGGGATGAGTATGTATGTCGAGGGATATATCATGATGGTAAAACCAGTGGTCATAGAAGAAAACTAATTCCCTTAGGAAAAAATTCTCTGCATATAGAAGACAATTTCCTATCTTTCTTTGGATTCCCCCATCAGTAGATCCTGAGAAAAGGATTCCAAAACGAATCATTTCTTTGGAAGGTAATACCAAAGAGCACCCATAGGGGAGAGAAGAAGTGAGACAAGTGAAGGGAGAGGCAACAATAAAGAATTTTTAAAAGTCTGGCAGCTTGGCCAGGGTGGTGACTCATGCCTGTAAACCTAGCACTCTGGGAGGCTAAGACAG